TTAATGTAATGTGAATATCCTTTAATCATGAGTTATTCTTTTTTTACTTAAATCACCTTTCTAATGAAAAAATGCTGACTTGGTTTGTCACGAAGGGAGTGGTAGCTGACGGCATCTCTTTATTCGTGGATTGATTGAGTTTCAAGCTTTAGTATTAAAGCCCCCCCCCCCCTCCCAAGTCAGGTAAGATCATGATACCCATTAACCTCGAATATATTTTTAAGCACACATTACATTTCTTGTTACGGTAGCCGTGGAAGGGGTCGGATGAGGGTGGGGTACGATAATCATCAACGTCTATGTATCCTCCTGGATAACAGATTAGGATGCTGACGATTTTTTGTCGTACTTGTTTGGCGGCTTTAAGATACCCCTTTTTTCAGTTCGCATTAAATGTGACTCAGTGTGTTAGATGCTGGCACGCTGACTAGAAAGTACCAGGTCAGATTCCAGTTTTGGCCGAGAAGGTATCTTTGGTTTCCATTTTAGTGATGTTGTTCCGTACAACTTCTCGTCGATCGAATAGGACGAAAAACCCACATCCCGTGCCCAGGTTGGCTTGAACTTAAAAAGAACTCCATTTAATATTAAAAAGGATAAGCCCGGTGGGGTTCTGAACCTTGTATTAATCAATTGTAGCACGTGTAGTGAGGGTCTGAACTACTAGACCCCCAACCCCACCAAACACCCCCACTCCCCCGCAACAGTATGTGTCTTAAACTACGAGGCTACGGCTACATAATCTTTCTAAGGTTTTTCCAGGCCGGATTAACACCGTTTTATTCATTGACCTACGACCTTTTTTTATTTCAAATTACATCTGTTAGGAAGTCTTTTACATACATACCAATATGTATATGGAGCCTCGGTTTTTCCTTGACACGCCAATGGTGGAATCGAACATTGGGTCGCCCTGTTAGCCAGGTACCGTCTTACCCGTATAAGCCACTGCTGATGCGAACTGTTGCCCATGTTCAATCATCCTCACATAAACAGTTCTATACCATACTTACATTTACTGAATAATTAAACCATGCAGTTCCAATAGACCTTTAAATAGTTTCGTGTCAGCAGGACAGAAAGTAGTTGCACGTCGATGTTAACAAGCCCATTCCTTACATACTTTAGAGCTTGCTATCTAATATTTTCGTTTGTATTTTCATAGCTTTAGAATTAGGTGTGATTTTTAAAAAAGATTAAATTTGAAATAGTTATCTTTACCCATTAAGTCTGTAGTTGCACAGGTTCTGGTTTACATTTTATATATTTTGTAAAAACAAATAAAATCCAAAACTCAATAATAGGCCTAGGTACCGGTAGGCCTAGTCTATTGAATAATATATATCTAGATTCATATGTCATCATTAAAAGATATAATGAGAAATTTAGATCAGCGGCTGCCAGGCAGAATACGCCCACATTTTGCAAGAGATGGATAGAGAAAAGCTAAAGAAAAAGCAATTTTTCGTACAATCAGGGGCCATAATTCAGAAAGTTACGATCCGATATGCACAAATATCGAAAGGAACCAAGATCTTTGGGTTATGAACTTACATTTCAAGTTTCATCAAAACCAGAAGAAAATTGTGACCTCTATAGGGTCCACAACCTTGATATACCATATTTTTACGCTATTTGAGAACAAGGGGCGGCCACTTTGTCTGTCAGTTTTGGGCCGATTTTCACGAAATTCGAATTCAACCATCCTTAGTGTGTAACGGTGATATATTAAAACGGTTTTTTAAATCGGATAAAAATTTTGACCTCCATAGGGTCCACAAGCTAAAAACGATTGAATAATGAATTATAGGCCTAATTTTTCCTAAGATTGTTTATGGGAAAATGTGATTCTATGTAGGCCTACAATTACTTCCGGTAACTGTTGAATTTATAGTATCTGTTAAACATACATTATGCAAGACCTAAATTTGCCTATTGCAGGTCTTTCTTTAGGCCTGACATGTTTTCTCAATTATTGATTAGAAATTAATAACTTGTCTAGATGATAATAAACTCTCGATGGCATCGGATTTCTCCGATATTAAATAGATTAGGACGGTTCAACCATATTTTGATTTAATTTAAAAATGAAGGAGCGAGACGAGGCTTCGAACAACCAGTACGGTGGTTGAAATTATTGCACTCGTGTTGTCAAACCTTCAAAAACTAATATCTTCGGTAGCAATAGAGTAATTTGAATTCAATATATTCATTTTACATTATCTATTTTTGAACTATTATAGCAAGAATGGTCAGTTCTTTATCTAAGTCTTAGATAATGTATCTTTAACTAAGTCTGCAAATTTCATTAAAAAAAATATTATTGAGCAATAAGCTTATAATAGAACATTAACACTAATACTGTTATGCTATTCAAAATCATATTTCCCCTTTTACTAGTAGGTCTTAATCCAACCACCAATAACATATTTACTGAAGCACCATCATTCATTTTAAACCATTCATTAATTCAAAATATAATTTTAATTTTTCTGGTTTATCTGGTTAACTGAATGGCTAATTTCATTTTTTATGGATAATAATATACTCTCAAAAGTGTTTTACTTTGAGAGAGTAAAACAGGTCCTGTCCAATAAGGAGCGTGGCAATTTGACATTTTCAAATCGCCCAACGAGTATTTGGTGGATTAGTTAAACATACATTATGCAAGAGCTAAATCTGCCTATTGCATGTCTTTCTTTAGGCCTGACATGTTATCTAAATTATCAATTAGACATTAATAACTTATCTAGATCATAATAAACTCTCGATGTCATCGCTAGCCTGTGATGTTTATTGGATTAGGTTCCGATTTGTTGTTCGACTTCCATTCATGATTTAATCATGAAATGGATAATCGAGACTATATGTTTTTATCGTACCGACTTCGGTAATGATGATCGAGGCTAGGCGAGGTGGATTAATTTGACTGAAATTTCAGCAAACTCCTTTACATTATCTAGTTATAGATCACTTTTATAGTGAGAACTGCCAGTTCTTTATCTAATCTCCCATAATGTATCATTAATAAAAACGTTTAAACATCAACAATAATTTACAGCCTAGACTAATTCGTAAAACGTCAAATTTGCCGTCCTTTATTCAAGTTTTAAAAATATAAATCACGTTTTATAAATTCCCGAAACAGACACACCAATGACATAATATGATTCTTAGTGATAGTTCTCATAGTTTTTGTCACCGAAGATACCATACATTATTGCCATTGAAGACTAAGGCGTGACCTGACTTATTTACATCGATTTAATGCACCGTATCTCATGATTCCCAAACTCCTAAACGGTCTACTCCTTGTCACGTACAACCGTGGAATCGAGACCTCGCCAGTTGACTCGATGACAGACCATTCGGCCATCCCCCCCCCCCCCCTAGCCCTCCCCCTCGAAAACTACGAAATTCAAGATATATATTATTCACATTGAACACTATGGTGTGATCTTACTTCTCAGTGCACCGTATAGCGTGCTTCCAAAAATGGTCTATTAGGTTCAAATAGGTTTAAATCTGTAAGCTATATCTAATCAGCTATATTTTATTGCTGTAATAAACGTAACTTTATCTACTATTTTTACGGGTTTGTAAGTATACGATGTTTATTACCTTTTAATGACCATAAGCAAAATACAGATGTAGACGTTTCTTTGCTTTTCCTTTGTTTCGTATTTATTTGGAGTGGGTATTTACAGAATTTTGATGATCTGTAGGAAATACAGGCCTCAAATATTCAAAAGTTTCTATAAAACAAATTACAGGGTTTTTTGTCCCCCGCCTTTCGAAGAAAACAGGGGACTATTAAAATGGGTCTGTCTGTTCGTCCGTCCGTCCGCCTGTCCGTCAAACATTTTGGGACACAATAACTCTCCTAGAATGTTCAATCTTGGTGTAGGTGTTTATTAGGTCAATACCTTGATGGAGTTAGAAGATGAGCATTTTCCGCTTAGGATAAGCAGAGATAAGCAATTTGATTGGTTGATGCTTTGTAACATCATAAATTTAGTTCTAATTAAGCAATAAGTATGTGTTATAAACTGGTCCATTGATTTATCCATTTCATCGCTGGCACGAATAATGATTATGATTAGGCCTAACAATAACATTAACAACCTGTATATTTTTTTAATATTACATAACGTTGTGTCCTATAAAATTATTGATTTCAGTATATATTATTTTGTGAAATAGGCCTAAGCAGTTGAAAAAACAAGAATGATTAATAAGATTAAGAAAAAATCGCGGAAAGAATGCCTATACCGAAACTAAAATAAAGATTATATATAGAATAATTAACATTAGAATAGGCACTAATTAGATCGTGGCTAATTACAATGATATCAATAGGAGTTGTCTTTCTTGTTTTTATCTTTCTTGTTTTTATCTTTCTTTTATTTACCGGTACCGATACGTATTTAAATTAAATAAACGAAATATAGGTTGTTTTGTGAGGTGGGTGGGGGGGGGGAATTTAACACGTCCACACACGAACTTGTCCACTTTCAATCGTCGTAAATTTGTTTAACGCTAATAACGAAATGTAGGCCTATATTTTGGAGAAATTTTAATACTTTTAAATGTGTGGGGGCCCAGACATCCGTTACATCGAAGCAGTGCGGGACACTTGATTTCATTGGGGAGTTTTTACTTACAATATCCGTGTTGTATCTTGTCAGTGTTTTTGTTCATTTTATAGAAATGGAGATAAAATCTATCCCAGCCACGTTGAATTCTGAAATTGCTCCGAAATATAAGCATATTTTTATGTCGTTATTAGCCTGGAGTTATAATACATTTTAAGAAACATATTTAAAGATTTAGCTAAGATATCGACCTTAAAATCTGCAATAACAGCCAGAGGTCCTAAATGAAATGATGACTAACATATTTTTTCTGAAAGACAACTTAAGAATGCCTCGTGGATATGTGACGATGCCTTTTTTAAAAAGCGTATAAATATTCAAGGATAAACCACATTATTTTGCAGACGGTCTGATAGCGTTTCGATAAACTTTGTTTAACTCCAGACGCTTCCCGTAAAGTCACTAGGGTAAGTTATAAAAACATTATTTTCTTATTTCTTTATCATAACAAATGCGACTCAAAAGAGAGTAAATTGGGTTTAACGTCATACTGTTCTATTCAGAATTGTATAATGAAGACGGGCGATACAGTGAGCTATGGGGGACATTTTGCCCAGACAGTGGCGCTGTGGCCCACTTTTATATCGAATTTCAACTCCCAATGGGTTATTTCCGTGCACGCCAATGTGTACACGGGGCCCCGTTTTTTGTTCCTTATACATTGTTCCTGATCAGTCCCGCTGTCCTGAACCACCTAAGGAGGAAAATCCAGTTGAGCTTTCTCCGCCAACACCGGGATCGAACCCAATGTCATACTCATGGAGCCACCGCGGCTACCCGGTCTCTAAAACTAAAACCGGTTAAATACCATTTGTATAATAAATCAAAGCATGTTAATTATTATCCAAATATGTCTGAATTACACCTTAATTTCTGAGAACTTTTAATCCTCTGTTCAGTACGACGCCCGTGGTCTGTTCGAAAAGTGCATTTTTTAAACCACGATTAATATATTTGATTTAAATTCGAACAAGGAACCGATACTAAACTGTTGTATTTAAAGGCTACCTATATTTATCTATTGTATATCAAGGTGTTTTTCTGTCTTGTGTTTATATTTAACTGTTGTATTTAACTGTGTTTATATTTCACTATTGTACTCTGTTCAGGCGCCAGAATGAATACTTTATTGGTCATAATGTTGGCTAGTGCGGCACTTCTTGCTGGTAAGTAAAATTTCATTCAGTCTTTATAAGCATATAAAAATGCTCCGCCGCATACAGTGACTATTAACATCATTTAGAAACCAGTTGAATCCGGGCTTCCCCAGGGATCTATACTAGGCCCTTTTCTACTTTTGATTTGCATAAATGATATTTCAGATAATCTAAATAACAATCTGATGACCCCTCAGTATTTACAATTATAAATGATATCCCATTAGAAACTACTTTTCAATTGATACTGATCTAAATTTAATAACAATGTGTGTAAATAAATGATATTTCAGAAACTTTGAATAATAATGTTGTCTTATTTTCTGACGACACCTCATTATTTGAAATTATAAATAATAGCCTATCAGAAACTGCTAACTCAATTAATAATGATCTAAATTTAATATTAACGTTGGCAAGCAAAATGTAATTCAAATAAACCTGAAAACTTAATGTTCACGCGCTAAAAAATTAGGAATCCAATTTTAGCTTTTAAAATAAAATAGTTGATAAAGTTACTTCTCTCCGACTAACTTTTCATTCAAACAGAATGTGGTCAGAAAATATTTCTAAAATTTATTTTTAAAAAGCCTGAATAGACTCGACGTGCTACGCCAATCAAGATTAAATATAGCTGCATTATGTAAAGATATTTACTTTATTTATACGTTGAAACTGTTGATAATATATCGGATACATGTAGTCCCAAACATTCGAAATTACTAGAGAATATCCAACTAGAAGCAGGCAGAATAATATAACAGGTCTGCGCCGAAATGCCTCGAGATATATTTTTGACGACAGTTCTTTATGTTTGATATTACTTTGTATATGTTTTATGTTTTATATAAACTAATTTGTATATATTGATATACTGATTAATACTTTCGGTATCTTATGGAAATAATTTCTATAGGCCTTATATAGGTTCAATTATTGTTAACTGGCCCTTCTTGCTATCATAGTTCAAAAATAGATAATGCAAAATGAATATATTGAAAATTTAATTCAAATTACTTTATTTAGAGTGACGTTATCACTGTTCGAAATTAAATCATTAAATGGCGGTCGTATTTTAATCCGTTTACACCCAAAGAGTTCATTATAGACTGGTCGTGAATAAAAATCGAGATAATAAATTTTAGAACCTTTGAAGCCAAAATTAAGAGAAGTAATAGGCAGATTTAGCTCTTTTTAACTTTTTCGGTTTAACCATTCTGGAGCGTGAGAAATTTGCCGTGTGTCTTTACGTTCAGTACAGCGGGTATGTAGATACTGTGAAAGATATGTGAAGGGCCCGTTTTTATTTTTGCTTTTAACAGAAACATAATAATCATTTAATTTGATTTCTTTCAGTCACAGGTGATCCTCACACAGAGGTCGACCCTCCTGTAATAGAAATACCAATGGACGAACCGCATTATTTTAAGCCCTATCAAATGGAGCAGCCATACTATCGGGATCAGACATACCATAGGGATCCATACTATCGGGATCAGCCATACTATCGGGATCAGCCATACTATCGACACGACGGGTGCGAAGACACCAAACAGGAATTGAGGCATCTGGCCTATAAGCTGACTGACTTGGCTCATGAAATATCTGCCTTAAGTGATAAAAGGTCATTTTTTTTTTTTTTTTTTTATCTTTTCCTGTTTTGTGGGCTAATATATGGGGCTATTATTTGGGACAACTAATATTGTAACTTGCAGGGTATTATAGACACAATTTTGACAATATTGTAACATGCAAGATAAATAACCCCTGTGCAAACACGATAAACCTTGTCGGCAACAAGGGGTAATTAAAGACCTCCAGACATAAATAGGTTTTTGGATGCATAATTTTATTCGAATACGATCAAACTAGAGCTTCATATAAAGACTGATTAGTAATCAATCAAAGTAAAATAAAAATATTTGAGATAACAACAGTGAAGAAACCATCAAAATCTGTAAATAACTTAATTGTCATTTCCATGTAGAAACGTCTTTTAACGGTTTTGGAAGAGTACGTTGATTTGTTTACAGATCTAGATTAATAGAATGATCAACACAATATCATAAGTAAGAAAACTTCAAATACAAAGCCTGCATCGAACGCAGATTAGGCACTTACAACTATCAACATGTTTAATGGGGAGGGGGGTGACAAGACCCCATGTTTCCGATACGTAATACATCCAGCTTTTTGTCAAATGGTGAATGTTGCCACTGCCTCTCTTCCGATCTATTTGCAGCATTATACCCGACGTTAAGTAGCTGACAATGTATAAAATTCTTGTTAGACAATTAAGTGCCCGTTACCCATAAATATTAAGTATATGATCGCGGGGTCACGAAATACACCTTGTACACGCACAAGGGTTAATGCAAATTGCAATCGGAGACTTTATTAAAATATATGTTATTGAAAACTTTAGAAGGTAGAAAAGGATATCTTTTCTGAATGTTTTCAGACGTGTATTTTTTTAATGGTTCAATTTGAAGAATAATATATATAAAACAATATCAGAGATTTTTTTTCAATAAATATCTATTTGTCGGTCGGACTTATGGTTTGAGCATACTGTTCGTCCTTTATAGGCTACCGTACAATTGTTTATAATACTTCCAATTTCGATTTAATTAATACCGATATTATATTCTGTTCTTTAATATTTGCTCCAACATTATTTCGATTTTAACACATAAAACTGTATAGAGCTCAATGGCTAGTACGCGTAATGTGATTCTCTGTGCTAATGTCAGATCGAATCCCCGGTTGTACGTGACAAGGAGTAGGGTCGCATGTCCAACCTCGTGGGTTTTCTCCGGGTCCTTCGGTTTCCTTCCACTGCTAAAGACCCCTACGCGCAAGCGAATTATTGAAATAAAATTAAACCATATGTTAGTTCCGAACTGACCTACTTTGTGTCGAGTGGACGTTAAACCCCATTTCTCTCTCTCTCTCGCTGATGTCAGATCATATTTGACCTAAAATACGGGGTTAATGTCAGGTCATATTTGATTTAGAATACAGGGCTAATGTCAGATCATATAGGATCTAAAATATGGGGTTAATGTCAGCTCAGATTTGATTTAGAATACGGGGTTAATGTCAGATCAGATTGGATATAGAATACGAGGACGTTGAACCATATTTTTCACGAGTTACCAGCATGGACCACTCACTTAATGGATTAAACAATATCATTCCAAATTATCATATCTCCCTTCCAAATAATTCTCAAAGATATGTATTTTCCGTTTGATTATTTTCAGAAACACGGAAAGGCCATATTACCCTGGTGAGAAACCTTATTACCCTGGTGAGAAACCTTATTACCCTGGTGAGAAACCTTATTACCCTGGTGAGAAACCTTATTACCCTGGTGAGAAACCTTACTGGCCGACCTGGTTACGAGAAAAAGTCTGGTAGAATAAATGCGATATCTTTAAATACATTTAAGTTATACGACATCCAGATTAAATCAAATATATATATATATATATGAATAAAGAGTCGTGAATTAAAATGAGATTTTGTATATTTTATTTTAAATGCCGCTTGGTTTGCTCCGTTGCTAAATCAATTAAATGAAACTTGGGCATCATTGTGCTTATGGTAGTGGTTCAGTCCATTACTTTATCCTTCCCCAGTAGTATCCGATGTTCAAACCATCCTTCTAGTTCGATATGATTAGTAACGTATGTCGTACACGAGACAGGTTATGAATATATAAACAACTGCTATCGCTTCTTCTTTGACGTATTCATACAGATGAGTTGATGTCTGTACTATTTCCATCTTTATAATGGGGTTTAACGTCTTATTTATTTACACCAACCGGGATAATGAGGACGGCAACACGCCATATTTTACTATTAGAGAAAGTCTGCCCTTACAGGCATTTCCGTCTACTATTCACAGAATTCCAAATGACAAGGGGCTTTTTAAGTGCATGCCATTGAGGACACGTGGGGTACTGCACCGAAATTAAGTGATATTTTGCGCATGGATTTAAGAAAAAGAAAGTAGTGTGTTAAGATCTCCTCAGGGTCACCCACAGAAGCACAGACGCTCACAGTCACTGGTTGAAATCAGCAGTATTGCAAAGAATACCAGACAGCGTTACAGCCAAATCTTACACTAAATTTAAAATAAGGTTGAGTGGTTCAAGCTCAACAAATTTTACAACACATAGACAAAATTCGGGCTTATTTTAGCATTGTATAAGACTTAACGTAAAAACTTCATTCATTAACAATCGAAGTCTGGCCACGTTTGATTTTTGAAGATATAACCATTTTAGCATTGGTTGAAAATATGTTCGGAGCGCATTATCAAGGCAGTAAACACTTTGTGACAAAACGAGTTATGGATCTTGGTCACATTGAAAGTTAGGCCTACGTCCCTGGAACGAAAATGTCTTCATAGTCCGGAAACATCGTTTATTTTCTTGTCGCGAAGTAACGGAATACACTCTATTAGACGATGGAATTTTCTACATCTGTACGCATGCACAAACGTTTAGGTTTTTTTACGATATGTCGACGCCTTCAAATATTTTAAAATTACTTATAATGAATTGAAATGAAATGGGGTTTAACGTCCTAATGTTCTGCTCCTAAACCGGGCTAATGAAGACGGGCATACGCCATGCAGTGTGCTATGAGGGAAATTTTGCCCGGGCAACGGCACTATCGCCTACTCTTATATCGAATTCCAACTGCCAAGGGATCTTTACGTGCACGCCAATGTGTACACGGGACCTCGGTTTTCGTCCCATCCGAACGACTAGACAGCTTTCCTTGTCAGCCCCTCCGTCCTGCATCACTGACAAGGGAGAACCACGCCGGAAAATCTGGATGAACTTTCTCGGCCAATGCAGGGATCGAACACCCGACCTCCAGGCTAGCGAGCTAGCGTCTTACCCACTTAGCCACGTGATCCCCTGCCACTAAAGCATTACAAGTAGAGGGTCACGGTGGCTAAGTGGGTAAGACGCTGGCTCGCTAGCCTGGAGGTCGGGTGTTCGATCCCTGCATTGGCCGAGAAAGTTCATCCAGATTTTCCGGCGTGGTTTCCCCTTGTCAGTGATGCAGGGCGGAGGGCCTGACAAGGACAGCTGTCTAGTCGTTTGACATGAATTGTTTAAAGATTAGCTTAATATTAAAATGAATAGTGATTTCATCCCTGTATACCCACAGACATCGATGGCATGTGCGAGAAGGGGGGGGGGGGGTCTATCAATCTCATCATTTAACACTTTAATGTTAGTCCCATAGATGAATAAAAATATTGTGCAGTACGATGTTTGTTATTGAAAAAACACAAAGTAGGGGAAAACATAATGGCATGTAATACGGAGAGAGAGGGAAAAGACCTCCTTAAATTTAATTTGTCCCGCAGATAAATAAATATATTGTACCGTGTGATGTTTGTTATGAAAAAAGAACACATTGCTGAATAAAGTACAAGGAAAATACAAATGCAATAAAGATCGACCTTCGGGTTGATTGGATGGGGATTTGACTTCGAAGTTATGGGTATAGTGGGGAGGAGTAAGTACAACATAAAAGACTATATATTACCAACAAATTCAAAATCAGGACCACGTTCTGTCGTGTGGTGTGCTAGCATTTACACACTAATATTTATGCTGTTATCTGTTCTAGTTTCTATTCATTTATAAGGCATTCAAAGCGCTCAATAACATTTAACAAAACCCATTTCATTGTGACCCACGTCCCCTGTCTGTATTATGTTAGAACTGCCTTTTCTACCGAATGTTGTCTTTTGCAGAGAGAGAGAGAGAGAGGGGGGGAGAGAGAGAGATGGGGTTTAAGCTCCACTCGACACAAACTAGGTCATTTCGGAACTAACATATGGTTTAATTTTATTTCAATAATTCGCTTGCGCGTAGGGGTCTTTAGCAGTGGGAGGAAACCAGATTGTCTTTTGCAACATAATTAAATCATATACATAAAATAAAACCAAGTACGAACAATCCAAACCATAAGACAGAATTCGAAGTCCTAAAAAACGTTCTAGGCAAAATAGTGTATTCAAGCAAAATAGTGTAATCAGCAAATGGACTGCTCCTCGTGTACAAAATACACGACAAACAGTGGTAACAGGTGTCCGGAAGAGTAAGCTTACCCTGCCTGGCGCCACACCCGCCATAGCTGCATCCAAACTATTAGGCGAAATGTCGGTAAAATAGCGTGATTGGCCAATGAACTATCGGTATGCAAAATGACGCGATGAACTACATGTAATTATTCAGAATACACATATAATCTGTCTGTTCAGATATTTTTATAGATATGTTTCATATAAAGCATTTAAAAGCTTTTCGGTACCAGCTTTATCTGACATGGTATTTTTAATTTCGGAAATAACGGATTTACTAAATGGTTCAGCTATTTCTTCGAGATCTGCCAAAATTCGGTTAATGTCGTTAATGTAGTTTGCGCAGATTTATCAACGATTTCACAAAGACCAAGAATAAGTGCTAACGTCCGCTTCCACCGAGGTGATATCGCAGACAATTAGTAATATGCATGGTTAAGGCACATTTATAGCGAATACGTCGTGTGTGTGCAGGGTGCGGGGGGGGGGGTCTGTCTTTCTAAGTGAATAACACGTTGTTTCATGTTTCATATAGGCGAATTATATAGGTTCATATTCGCGAAAAACGAACAACGAACAAAAACTACAATTAATGGTATTTATGCGTGTTTTGACGTCACGGTGACACAGAATGTAGCGTTTGCTTATTGACCAGAAAGGGGGGGGGGGCAGTCTGGAGGTCGTGTTCTTTAACGGTGTTGGTCGAGAAAGTTAATCAAGATTTTCTGGCGTCGTTTCCCTTTGTCAGTTGTGCAGGACTGAGGGCGTGACAAGGACAGTTGTGTAATCGTTCGGGTGGGGTAAAACCCGAGGTCCCGTGGCGTGCACGCAACAGAACACTTGGCAGATGGAATTCGACATAAGAGTAGGCCACGATGTCGCTGTCCAGACAAAATTTTCTTCATAGCACACTGTATGGCGTATGTCCGTTTTCATTATCACAGAACAATAGGACGTTAAACCCCATTTCATTTCATTTTCTGCCAGTCGCTGTGACAAAGTCTGTCCAACCTCGTTGGTTTTCTCCGGGTCCTCCGGTTTCCTCCCACTGCTAAAGACCCCTACGCGCAAGCGAATTATTGAAATAAAATTAAACCATATGTTGGTCCCGAAATGACCTAGTTTGTGTGTCAAGTGGACGTTAAAGCCCATTTCTCTCTCTCTGTGACGAAGTCTGAAACGCTGGCTCGTTAACAATATTGCGACAGAACTATGTCTGAACCTGGAAATTAAATACAAAGGGGTTTTTATGATTGATTTAGTAGCTTAGAATGTCCTCTGTCACAATTTGCCGGGTAAACCTGTGTTACCCTTGAGCGTTTTGAGAATTTCAAGATGGCGTCCAAGACGGCCGTCATTTCAAATAATCCCTTATAGTATTTTGTCTAGGATGATAATTTTGGTGTCCAACCGTATGTTTTTGGGGCCAAAGAATACACTGAAATCATTCATTATGTTGTTGGGTGATTAAGTGATAGTAAAATCCAAAATGCCAGACAATATTGCCCTTTAACTCGATAGCGGCGGTTGGGGGCGATTATTTCACCAATATTATAACGTGGCTTCACCTTGTCTGTGGTGCAGGACTCGGGTCCGTGCATGGACAGTGTCTAATCGCTCGGTTGTGACGAAATACCAAGGTCCCGTGTACACTTTGGCGTGCACGTAAAAGGGCTCCTGGCAGTTGGAATTTGAAGTATGAGTAGATCGAAGCGCCACTGTCACTGGTCAATTTTCCTCTTAGCACACGGTATTGTATATACCCATCTTCATTAGACCAGTCGATATACACCCTTCCTTCACCCCAAACATTCTTGATTATCTTAGTGTGCGCGGAGGGGGGGGGGGATTATTGTCTGAAAATTAAGATATAATTGAATAATCTACCAAACACAAAATTATGATCATTCTTTGATAGACATTTTTTTAATGGGTAGTTTCTATTTTGTTGATTTTCCTTCTAGGGTGCAGCCTCAGTCTCGGTGCCAGCCACTACCTCAGTCCCAGTCTCAATTTCTGGCGCAGTCGCACGAGATATTTCGCCCCGAATTCTTCTACTCTTGCCTCCGTCGCCTCCTTTGGCCCTCTTTGACCATTTGCCGCCGTGTCCTAGTTTTTTCATCCACCAGGGCATAACCATTTTCACGTCACTTAGGTAACCTTGACTATAAAAAAGATGAAAATAAAATCAACAAAGAGAACTACTCGGGTAAAAGGTGAGATATCGTCATTAGGAGATAAAGCATGTCGATTTGATCTAACGTGGGTTATAATGTCCTACGAGTCGGTTTAAAGATATAGCACATCGGTTTGGGTCTAATGGTTCTGCGCCAGTTGAAGACTAACATGAGAGAACTTTGCACAGACAGCGACACAGCGGC